AGAAATTATTTCGAATACGGAGTCCTATTTACCATCGAATGTTTATGCCGTACACCAATTTTAAAAAATTTGTTGTGAAGGATTTTAAAGTTATAGAGAAAAAACCGTCTTTGAGGTGTCCTATTCAAAGGGCCGTAGCTCCCTTAGGAAGCATTTTCGGATCCTTATCAATAGGAACTTTTTGCCTTATTTTCATGCAAGGAATACGCCTCTGAAAGGATGCCGCTTACTTTTGAATCACCCTGTATATAAATCTTTTTCGTGAAACAATGAGTAGAGATAGATTTTTTCAGCTTCGAAATAATTTGCACTGTGTGAATGTTTTGGAGATACCAGAAAACTGTGGGGATAAGTTGTACAAGGTACGCCCTCTCTATGATGCAATTAGGAAACATTGCACTGAGTTAGATTTAGAAGAGAACTTGTGCATCGACGAGCAAATTGTCCCATTTAGGGGTCATCTGTCAATAAAACAATATTTAAAAGGAAAACCAACCCCTTGGGGTGTGAAAATTTTTGTTTTATGCGGAAGATCCGGAATGGCATACGATTTTCTGATTTATCAAGGAACGTCTACTGGCTTGAACGCAGGAAACCTGAATACATTTGGCCTTGGAGCAACAGTTATTCTTCACCTTTCAAAAAGAATTCAGAAAGATGGACATACATTGTATTTTGACAATTATTTGTAGTCATTTCAAATTCTGCAAGTTTTGAGGCATAAAAAAATATATTCTGCTGGAACAGTGAGAATAAACAGATTCAGTAAGCCACCAATATTAGATGACAAACAGTTGAAAAGAAGAGGTAGGGGCTCTTACGATGAATTGACAACTAAAAATGGAGATGTTGCATTAGTGAAATGGATGGTGCTTCAAATTTTGTTGGTGTTGGCCAACAAGACGTAGTTTCTAAATGGGACAAAAACGAGAAGAAATACAAAGACGTTACCTACCCGACCAGAGATTGTGAAATTATATAATCACTCTATGGGTGGCGTTGATTTACTCGATCAAATGATCGGACTATATCGGAATTACGTACGTTCCAGAAAGTGGACACTTCGGCTTATATTCCATGCCGTTGACTTAGCTGTTGCCAACAGTTGGTTTGAATACAGACGAGACTGCAATCGACAACAAGTGCCAAAAAAATCCCAGATGCAACTCCTAGATTTTCGACTACATTTAGCAGAATGTTTGGTGAAAGTAGGGAAGCCAGTATATCAAAGCAAGAGAGGAAGACCGAGCAGCAGTACACCTGAGGTGCAAATATCAAAGATTCCGGAAAGAAATGAAGAAATCAGGTCATGTCCAGAAGTTCAACATGATTCTGTAGACCATCTTCCACATCTAGATGGAAGTAAGGAAGGCAAGCGTTGCAAAAATTCCAAGTGTAATAAGAAAACGCATTTCTTTTGTGATAAATGTAAAGTAAATTTATGTATAAAGAAGGAACGGAATTGTTTTGTAATGTACCATAGAAGATAATTCAAGTTACTACACATTTTTAAACTCCGCTCTATTTTTTCTTAGAAAATACAAAATGAAATATGATTGAGTTTGTTTGAATTGAGTACATGTAATACATTTTTTTTTAATTCAGTTGAAACGTTTTGTGCACAATTAAGCACATTGTATTTTTCCCAAAAAATCAAGGAAAACTGATATGATATTCTTACAATAGTCTTTATATGAACACAAGAAATGATTATTCTCAAAAAAAATTTAAATCTTTTTTTCGAAAAATCAGGTCTCAAGGGGTTAAATAAGATTTAATAAGAAAATAATTGGTCACAATGCATATTCAAGTTCCCTCTCACACCTCCACATTATGCGCATGTCCTATAGCGTTCCCGCCAATTCCCTGTTCAAAATAGTCGACTATTACAGACGTTGCAAGTTAGGTGTGCCAGTGGCTATTGTATTTATATGAAATTGCTAGTGCGTTCATGCACAGGAAATAATAGGTATATTATTAAATATCGATTTCAATTTCCATTTTTCAAAATAGATTCAAAGTAGATATCGAAATACATAGTTCAGATAGGAATCGAACCTAGTTCATCATAATTTTTACTCCAAACCCAAGTGGTCGTCCAACTGGAATACAAAATGAACAATATCCATTTCTCGACCAGGGCGGTCGAAAACAGGGTTCCAGGCAGTGTTTCTTCATACCCTTTTTCTAACTTTGGTATGTTATCACGAAAGTCTGGCCCGATCTCAACCACACTTTATTTTTTATTCATTTCCAAATATTCATAAGCTTTTATTGGTGGTCAAGAAATGGCTTAAGGTAACTATACCATTGTCGACCACTAGTTTATTCCTTATTCTAACCACCGTTTCTAGATATGTGAAAAATAAGAGGTAGGGTGATTGTGCCAGTTTGCCGGCCACTTCCAGTTTTCGTCGTTTTCATGGAATAATAAGTAAAATAATATCTCCTCACATTCGAAAGTCCCGCCAAACTTTTGCGGTTGCTCGGGCATTGCTCAGTTGTAAAAAAATAGTGTGGCACAACTTTTTCAACGGTAAGTTTTTGTTAAATGTATCTAAACACAATAGAAATGTTGAACGTAGGAGCTATCTAAATATGTTGAACTTCCATTTTAATGCGAGAAAACTGAAAAAGAATGATTTTTTCTTTTTATTGAGTGGTGGCCAGTATTCTGGAGTCTCGAAACAAACAGTTTTTCCAGTTGTCGGCCATGGTGGCCCGTGGCCGAGAACTGGAATAATAAGAAGTCTATTCGTCGTCCGTGAATTCCAGTGTCGAATACTATAGACACCTATCGCTCTGTCCTTTTTGGAGGTACTGTAGAAGTTGATTCTGTAGCCAGTTTCCGGCCACCAAAATGTTTTATATGGAATTAAATATAATACTGCATTTTATATGGCCGAGAATTGGTGTAATGTGAGCAAGTTGTCGGCCAGCACATATTTCTATATCTATATATATGTTTAGAAGTTACGAAAAAGAAGTAAGTCTGGATAGGTATATTGAATAAGTAATTCCCCAGAATTAATGATTGTTTTTTTTCAGATGGACCCAGCTAAGAAAATGCCAAAAGATAGCAATCAGTTGAGATCAACTTCAAAACGGCACTTTTTCAAATATGATGAAAATGCGTTGAAAAAGACCCTTGTGGACATAAAGGAGAACGGTATGGGTCAACGATTCAAGGTAGGATACATGGAAGAATTGAAGAGAAGAAAAGGAAAATTGGACCTGATCCTATACTAGGAATAGAAGGGGAAGACAGAATTTCACAATGGGTATTGAATATCGCGAAGTGTGGTTTAACGATTCAAAAAAGAGATTTGTTACAAACTGTTGAGGGAATTCTCAAAGACAGTAGAAAACCGACACCATACAAAGAAGGGGAACCAGGAGAGAAGTGGTATATAGATGCTTTTTGAGGAGGCACCCAGAAATAAGCATCCGTGAAGCTGAAAGTATAAATAGAGCTAGAGCTGTAGTTACTTACGGAAGAACGGATAAGAAATTGGTTTACACATTTGAAACAATACATGGAAGAACAAGGGTATTTAGATGTGTTAGACGAACCTGGCAGAATCTTCAATGGGGACGAAACAGGATTCTCTTTGTGTCCAAAAACTGGGAAAGTACTGGCTCCACTTAAAACACAGTGGAAGAAAACCGTACGGGAGTGGCAATCAAAAACAGAAAATTTAAACAGCGTCTTAAACAAAACAACTTTTTGTCCTCTATTAGAGGAGTGTTTAAAGTTGTCTTCTTTACCGGACGCCATCATCAATGGATTTAAAAGATGCGGACTTCGCCCCTTGAATCCTGATGCTGTTGACTATAGTAAATGTATCCAGAATAAATTGGAAACAAACCAATATTCACATATCAAACATGACATTACATTAGAAGAATTAGCAACAACCAAAAGAGTTCTTACGTTAACGAAAGAAAAACTGATGAATGAATATCAAATTGATAGTGAATTGGTTGTAAGTGCCTTAAAAGATATTTTCAAGAAACAAGAGAATGGAAATAATGAAAATCAAGTCCTGAATGAAGGTCAAGTGATATAATGTGAGGCCCTTAATGAAACTCGATCTGGTATACAGTGTGTCCCACTTACCATGCTCACCATGGGCGATTAACTTGAAATTTGGCAGGTGTTCATAATTCCGGTGACAATACATTATGGAATTTTTGTTGAAATTAAAAAAAAATGGCTGCTCCAAGATGGCGGACAAGATTTGGTCCGATTCCATTCAAAATTGGTAAGTGGGGGTTTTGAGGTTGGAGATCATGATTCTTTTGTTAAAATTCATAAATTCAAGATGGCGGCTTCCAAATAATTTTTTGTTTTTGTATAAATGACGGTAACTCCGTTGTTATCAACACAAATCTATTACTGCGATATATCATTTGTAAGAGAAAAAAAAGTTATTTGTAACTAAGTCATAGTGAGCTATGACCTACATTTGAAAAACTAAAGTTGGTGCTGATATCTCAAATTCTAGAAGAGTTGGTATAAATTTCATATTTTTTTCGAAATCACCTTGAAAAACTGCCATGAGAATGTGAAATTCCTATTTGAATATTTTCATAAATAAAGAAGTTACGGAGGAGACATGAAAATGATCAAATTCTGTTTTTTGCGTATAAAACAAAAACGAATAGATTTTATCAAAATATTTTTTCACATTATAGTTGTCCTTGACAAAATCTAGATTTGGTGTCATTTAACCGACCTCGTATCTCTCACCGTTAAAAAGATACCCATGGTGATCATGGTAAGTGGGACACACTGTATATGAGGTACATAATAATGTCCTTGTTTTAGTAGAGCAAGACAACATCACCCTGAGTGAATTTTTGATGTCAACGATTATGCAAATATTTTCGCATGTGGTGACGATTTCTTGCCTGAGGAAATAACCAATAACGAAGTAGAATAAACGCCTACATCAGTTAATGATAAAGAAAATAAAATCATTGAGAAATGCAATCAGATAACCAAAGACGACAATATACTAGACAAATCACAAAAATATGATAAAATAGAAAGATATAGAGATAATAATGATGACTTGAAAGAATCTACAGAAAGACATGATCAGATAACCAGTGAAGAAAATTCACAAGATAAAAAAGCCGAAAATGATGAGAACGAGAATGACGAGGTAAATAAATCTTCAGAAAAAATGATGGGATTACTAAAGAAGATGATATTGGAAAGGAAGACAAATTAACAAAACAGATAACACCAAAAGAAGATAATGAAACTGATGAAGATACTAACCAGAATAATGAGGAAAATGCAGTGACAGAAAACAATACTGAAAAAAATTATGAGAAAACCAAAGAAGATCATATTGAAAAGGAAAACAACTCAACAAACCAGATCAAACCAAAAGAAGATAATGAAGTCAATAAAGAGATTAACCAGAATAATGAGGAACATGCAGTGACAGAAAACAATACAGAAAAAAAAGATGAGATTACCAGAGTTGATGATATTGGAAAGGAAGACAACTTAACAAAACAAATCACACCAAAAGAAGATAATGAAAGAGATAACAAGATTAACCAGGATGATGAGAAGAATTCAGTGACAGAAAACAATACTACAATCGATAAGGAGACAAACGACAAGAAAAAAATAAGACTAAAAAAGATGAAAACGAGGGTAATGGAATGAATAAACTACAAGACGATGATGAAAAAGAAAATCGCTCAAAAATGGCAAATCCGAACAAGAAAAGTGACACTGAAAATTTAAATAATGTCACAAGAACAAAAGTTTCCTTGAAACAGTTTGAGGACCATTTATTTTGGCCAGGTCCAATAGATTAAAAAAAAAGAAATCAAAACAAAAAAGAAAAACTGCCGTCTACTGTTTCCCCGAATGTATATAGAAAGTTTCTGGAAGAAAAGGATCTTCAGAAAAAAATTGAAGAAGAAAAAAGAGAGAAAAGGAAACAACAAAAACAACAGAAGACAAATGAGAAAAATGTTGCTGTGAAGGAAAAAAGCAAACCAAAGAAAAAACCTAAGAAGAAGAAAAATGAAGAGAAAATAAAACAAACGATAAAAGAAAAACAGATACCCTTGCCAAAGATGATGATAAAACAGAAAAATGAAATGTTCAGCTTGTGAAGAAGAACTCATTAGTGATGTAGAGGATGATGAGTTGAAAAATCTTGGTTGCGATCGCTGTGATCGATGGTACCATCTTATGTGTACGGAATTTATAGGACTCCCTTACAGAGATGCAAAAAGTCGAAATTTTGTTTGTGTTCACTGTACTTAAATCAATGAAAAATTGACATTTTGTTTTCATCATATGAATACCTAATTGTTATTTCTATCGATAATCGAGGAGTTTAAGGTTTATATGTTTCTGTGTTTGTATTGTAGTAACATTTTACTAAAATGAAATCATTTTCTTCTGAAATTGCGATAACTCCCGAATTTCCTGTACAACTAATCAAAAACCGATAGCATCCCAAACAGACAAAATATCTCGGCCGAGCACTGGGTGTCAATTGGCCGAAATTAGATTTTTTGTGGCCGAATACTGGCATTTCCGCACTTTTCATGGAAATTATTTTTTCCTTTTTTTTTTTCTGCGTTGTTTGACATTTCTCGGGTATTACAGGTGTTAGTAAACCAAACAAAGAGTACTGATGCAACAAAAGCAAATATTCAACTCTGTAAATAATATTTTTTCACTAATAGGTATCACATTGAAAATTATAGTTAGGTGGCCGACTACTGGCGCATTTACTTGAAGCTGCCAATAAAGATTATATATGCGGAAATTGCATGTGATCACCACCAAAAAAACTCCCTGCTATAGGTATATACGTACCTTATTTTATGTGATGATTTCTTTTCCAAGGACAATTTTTTTTGTTGACGTTTTTATTTTTATATTTTTGTTTTATCATTTTGTTCTTTGTATGACATATTTCGTTTTTTGTAATACATTTCTGAAGTAGTGAGTTGTTCATTGTAGAATTCACGAATGTCGAGCGTATTGATAAAGGACATAAGATTAATGGCCGAGAAAAGGCCTTGGTGGACGGACTACCAACTGCGTTAACTTCCTTCTTGACATGCCAAAGGTGGGAGCACCTTCTGGTGAAACTGAACTAGAATTTAAAATCTGATATGGTTGGGTATTGACCGGCTTGTGAAATGTGAGGAATTGTGTAGTGAATATAGTGAAGTGCCCCAAAGAAAATAGTAAGTAACTGTGAAATTATTAAATACTGACTATCTATTTTAGTATTTGAGGCATATTTATACCTTCATCTAATCTCTGAACACCAAAATATTGGTAAAATATAATTTTGAATGATTTAGGTCAGGTGGTCGCTTAACCGCATGTTCAAATTGAAGGTCTGCCGGTTTTCGATCGTGGCGATCGAAAAGTGGGTGAATTAGCTATTTAGTTTCGGTCTTTGTCTATATATTTATGACGTTATATTTAACTATCTCAGTGAAATGCACTACTCAAATATACCGATATAATGTATTCGGTTTTCGTACACTTTTTTAACGCGAATTATGAATAATTTGGTTTGGCGGTCGAAAAATTGGAATCACCTATTTACTTTTCGACCGGACTTTAAATTGTAAGCTTTTACGCGTACGAAAAATCAATTATATTTCGACCACTAGGAATATCTTAGGTATTTATGGATTTTACAGATGCCGCCAGTACAAAATGCAAAGAAGTCTTCAAAAAAGAGAGGCCATACTGTAAGAGTAGTGAGAAGAAAAAAGCGAGAACATTTCCAATATGCTAGTGAAAATCTTCAATGTGCCTTGAAAGGAAATCATGAAGGTCCCTTTCTGTAAGAATGGCAGGCAGGGAGTTTGGTATTCCTAAAACGACCACCTTACAAGACTACAAATCTGGAAAAATTCCTAAGTTTGCTGGAAAAACAGGTCCTCAACCCATTTTATCAATTGATGGTGAAGAGAAATTATCCAACTGGGTTATTAATTTAGCCAAAGTGTGGTTTCCCTGTTGAGAAAACAGACTTATTGGAAACTGTAGAAGGCATAGTGAAAAATACAGATAAAGAGAATTTGTTCAAAAACGGGAAACCAGGCCAAAAGTGGTACCTGAACTTTTTGAGAAGACATCCACAAATTTCCGTTCGGGAGGCTGAGAGTGTAAGCAAGGCGCGAGCCATTGTAACCGAAGAAGTTATAAGGTTTCGGTTTCGTGACTTGAGGCAATATTTGAAAGATGCTAACAACGAAGATATCTTAGATGAACCAGATAGAATGTCAAATGTCGATGAGGCGGTATTTGCTCTTTGTCCCAAAACTAACCCAGAGGTTGTAAAAATCTTTACTGCGTTAAAATGGGTAATGAAAAGGAAATTATAACCGTTTCAATGGTTTTCACGGCCAGCGGCAAGATTTGTCCGCCGTTGATGTTATTTCCATATGTGCGCCTTCCAAAAGCATTAGTGAACACTATGTCTCCGCAATATGGGTTTTAGGGAGATCAGACTCCGGTTGGATGAAGGACGATGTATTTTTTGAGTAGCAAACGACTCCAACGAGTGGGTTACCCAAAATGAGTTAAAACGGCCTATCTTACTATTGATAGACGGACATAAATCGCACATGACGATGAATCTTAGTGAATTTTGTGACCAGAACGAAATCATATTATATGCTCTTCCACCCAATACCACTCACATTCTGCAGCCAGCAGATATGAGTGTCTTTAAACCCCTCAAAACGGAATGGAAGAATACGGTCAGAAAATGGGATCAAAACAAGCAAGCGATCCTGATAGTAACAAGTCGAGAAATGGAAGAGAAGAACAAAAAAGTGAACAAGATAGTAGCAAGACTAGCAAGTCAAGGAAAAGAAGAGACAGCTGATGATACGGGTGGAGGAAATATAAACGAGCAGGCAACTAGCAAGATGGTAGAAGTCAGGAAAACGAAGGAACAGTTGATATAATAGATAAAGAGAATCAAAATAAGAGAGTCAGCAAGATATTAATGTCAGGAAGAAAAAGTGACATTTTATGATACAGTAAACAAAACAATAAGCAAGGAATGTATTACCAAGACGATGAACAAACCATTAAAAAAGTGTAACCTCAGAGATAACAGGGCTAGAACTATTAAAAGGAACGGGAAAACAAGTCTGCAAAAAATCAGTATATTCCTTGTCTGAAATAAATATTAGAAATAAAAAACGAGAAATTGCCCCAAAGGCCATAAATTCACAAGTCAGGCGAAATCTTCAAAAACAAAATGAAGAAAAGACACAAAAAGTAGAGGGTGTGAAAAGAAAGGAGTGCCCTAAAGAAAAACAAGAAAAAAACTGTAGTTATCAACAAAAAATCACGATAAGCGTCAGCAAAGTCAGTATTGAAACAGACAATCAGTTGTGCAACATGTGTAGAACTACACAGCGATACCGATGATGGAGACAACAAAAACATTGGATGTGACAGCTGCGATAAGTGGTTTCATTTACGTTGTTCTGCATTCATTGGAATGAAGTTAGAAGAAGCAGCAGCTGAAAAAGAATACAGCTGTTTTGTATGTTCTTAGAAGTACCTAGTTACCTCTATTTAGAGTTTTTAAGTCATCAGTTAATATTATATGTCAATTGTGAGACTGAAGAAATAAGATTTCATTTTACAAAATACATAGATTTTTTTTCGTTTCAATTAGTACTTTTGCTAAGTGTTTCAGCATTTCAACTTTTCAGTTGCATAAGGAATATTGCGGTGGTGCAAGTGTTTAATGGTCAAAAGCAGGCGGTTCATTGCCCGAAAAGTGGCAAATGATGGTCGACATTAAGCTTAGGGCGGTCGAAAACTGGTAAAAAGCACATTTTTTAGAATTTGTTTTTATTTTAATTTTCAGCAAGACAAACATCCCTTTCCATATTTTTCTCCATTTCTATGGGTACTGAAAGTTCAATCTGTTAGGGTTATAAAGCAAACCAATATTATATCTTAGACTTGCACACAGTTGATAGTGAAAGTAATGAAATCTGGTCGAAAACCGGCGCAGTCACCCTATATAGGTATTGGGAAGAATAACAAAGTAATGAACAAATATTTATATATCTACTTCAGATAATTTTAGTGATTCAATAAACTTTGAATTTCTATCAGGTGGCAGAGAACCGGCACATGCACCCACCATTTTAATAATGATAAGAAACACCCCTAACAGAAATTCCACAGAGATCTTTTATACATGAAACATAATTCCCAGATACCTAGAAGATTAAGATCGTTTTCAGTCTTCAAATAGATAATGAAGGAGATAATCTTCATTAGCTGTTGAATCTGAATTTATTTTTATCGACTAATCGATCTCAAAAATGTTTTAAACTGATATGTGAATTACCTACCACCTTAGGGCCGGTTGATCCATCAGAAATAATCTGGAGATTTATATGAATCGGATTATTTTGTTGTTCTGTTCATAATGGGCAGGTTTAAGACACTCCACTGAGATTTACGTTTGAACTAACCTAATATCTTGATCTGCTTTCAAATATATTGGAATAACCACTCAATCGCTGCATGATATTGCATAGGTACATAACACAAACATTGTTGGGGAGTTTTTCAATAATTTCCAGGAAATCATATGAATACGGCAATAATTATTATTATTCCTATTGAAAAGGAATATTCTCAGATATATTCATGAACACAAAAAAATGGATATATATATAAAGAAATACATTGAGAATTCACATTCTCCATGTGATGAAAATACTAATTCTTTATCGGTTTAATCAACAGAAAACAACTACTTTCCTGGCTATATGCCACGACGAATATTGAATTACATCTATTGAACACACACGATAAGAATTTGAAAACAAAATCTTCTGAAATAGAGAATTTGCATTCTCCTTCATATAAAGATATGTATATAATATCGTTCTGAATATTTCTGGCTATTTGCCACGTCGAACATTGAATTATATCTGTTGAATATCCATGAAGAGCATGAAATATCAAAATCCTCTGAAATTGAGAATTTACATTATCTCTCAAATCGAATAGAATAATATGAGGTATTATGATATGAAAATATAACTTACCAATATGTTTAGTTTTGAAATGAAAATTGAAATGTATAGGAGAAGTCTACTTGTGAACTCTGATCTTGATGAGGTTAAAAAATCATTCGTATTAATAATGGTGGTTACTAATGCTCTGTGACAAGATTATCTGTTTTTATCAATAATTTTTGTTCATAGCCGTCTCCAAAATTCAATCAGTCTATTTGAACATTAGAGGATATCCCTTTTCCTGGGAACCAGAACGTAAAAAAAAATCCTCCACTTCCAGCGGAAATTGGTATGCAGCATTTCTTTTCATTGGAATTTGATAATTCCATTTTTTGTCATGATTAGATAAAAAAGAATTGACTAGTGACATGAACTAGCAGCAAAATATCTTTTTTTTATGACATTTATCAGTCGAACTGTCAAATCTTCGATTTCATTTTCCATGGTGAACTTTCTGCTGTACAACACTAGTGAATATAACCAAAGATACAAATTCAAGGCGTGTTAGACTTCAAACAAACTGTGTGAGAGCAATTGTATTGAAAGTATTGGTTTCAAATTTGTGATTGTTCCTTATATGAGAACTCAAATTCCCGGATTGCACAAAGGCTTTGGAACAAAAATGGCATTTGAAAGGCTTCTCATCTGTGTGGAGTCGAATGTGGTTGTTGAGATTGCCTGATTGGGTGAACGCTCTATCACAATGCGGACATTTGAATGGTTTCTCACCTGAAAACAAGAAAGAGTATGAATAACTTCCAATACATTTAACGCGATCTATAGAGGGTGGGCCAATTTCTAATAGCAAAGACTTCACCAAATAAATAATAATGGACAAAAATAGTGATTTATTTTGCTTATTTCTTCTGCGGAAACGACCACATTCTAAGGACCTCTGTGGAACCGTTGCCAAATTGATAATCCAAGAGGATTTTTCGGATAAAAATAATAATTTTTGTTTAAATACTAACCTGAAGACCATGCATCTCAGTGCAGGCAAGTTCTAATTATGTTTGGATGTATGAAAAATTGATATTCATCATACAGGGCGTGGAAAGAAAATTCTGAATTGAGAATAAACCCAATCACGAATCTGCGATTAGAGGTCTATGAAAATAACAAGTTTCCATCGTTCAAGTTTGAACCCCTTGATTGAGTATGAAAGTATTGAAAAGGAATATTCTCAGATATATTTAGATTATGAAAAAAATGGATATATATATATATATTTTTATTATTATTATTTTACTTCATACTCTTGCTCTGTGTTCATACACAATATCTTTCCTCTTCTTTATTCTGTCTTGTGGTCACATCCACACTATCGAGGTGCACTCGGGGGACGTAGGTGTAGTAACAGAGATATCTGTACTCCTACGTCGCTGCCCGAAAAGCACGTTTCTGTTTAGTGCTAGTAGATGGCACTGTACCAAACATCCGTATTCCGCACTGTTGAAGACTACATGTTGGTCTTCAAATAGTGACCGGTCCGTGAGTGGATTGTCGATTGGCCTAGTGCAACTGATGATGCTTGGAGAGCTGAAACAGACTGACTTGCACCAATTGACATTCCACTCACGGAACGGATTAAACCTACAATCTTTTACTTCATACTCTTGCTCTGTGTTCATACACAATATCTTTCCTCTTCTATATATATATATACAGTGTGTCCCAAATTTGATCCTCACCATTGGGATTTCAGTAACTATGAGAGATAGAGGAACGGAAATTAGCAAAGTTGTAGAAAATTTAATGTTGAATCAGAATCTTTCAAGAAATCCAGGCTAGCTTCAGTCATTCTTGAGTTATTTGAGAAAAAATTAAATCTTGTATTTTTGTTTTTCTCGAATATCTCGGAAACTATTGATTTAATGAAAAAATGACTTCATAATTCTCATGGCACTTTTTGGTGTTCTTTTGAATGGTTTTGTCAGTTTTCCATCATAATGTCGAATTTCTGAGATATCACCTACAACTTCGGTTTTTCTTATGGACGCCATATTGGATTTTCACAGATTTGAAATCAGCATGAAATTTCCTTTCTAGTGATGTATCACAGTCACAGTTTTATCGCATAAGGAGTACTGATTTCCAATTTTTGTTTTTATGTCCAGTAGGCTATGCGCTGAACTCTCTATAAACAATAACGATTATGTGTTCTGGCACAACTTTCATAGAGTAGGCTTGGAGCCAAGAGCCTTTTCGGTAAACGTCAAGAGAAAATACAAGTTAATTATTTCGGGGCAAACAATGCCGTTCACAAAAACCAGTGACAGTACAAGGGTTAAGACCTGGTGATAATGAACGTTGTCTCGAGTTTTGTCACTGGTTCTTCAACCAGTGTGAAAGAATCGATATCGATATTTCGAAAATCAATTTGGTGCTAAATTAATTAATACTCATGGATCTGTTAGATGGCCTCCAAGGTCGCCTGATTATACGCCTCTCGATTTCTTCCTGTGGGGCTACGCCAAAAATAAAATTTATGAAGAGCCAATTCAAGATATTGATGATCTACGAGAGAGTGATGGAGACATTCCATCAACATCAACAGAGTTCATCTGAGAAAAGCAACGAATCATGTTCCGCTCTCGAATATTAAAATGTATCGAGAACAATGGGGGCCATTTCGAGCAGTTCAATTAATTTTGTATAGTATTTGTATTATGCACCTGCAATGCAAGAACATAGAACACAAATTCCATAATCTAAAGTGAAAGTAAGAGGAGTGAAGTGGTAACTAATAACACAACATAATGAATTGTCGTGGAGTCGTGGAGATAACTTCGAGAATTATTTATTAGTTACAGAATTCATAGCCTACTTGACATAAAAACAAAAATTGGAAATCAATACCCCCAATTAAATAAAACAGTGATTGTGATACATCACTAGAAAGGAAATTTTATGCTGATTTCAAATCTGTTAAAATCCAATATGGCGTCCATAAGAAAAAATGAAGTTGTAGGTGATATCTCACAAATTTGACATTTTGATGGAAAACTGACAAAACCATTGAAAAGAACACCAAAAAGTGCTATGAGAATGTTGAAATCATTTCCTCATAAAATCAATAGATTCCGAGATATTGGAACAAAACAAAAATACAAGATTTCAGTTTCTCTCAAATAACTCAAGAATGACTGAAGCTAGCCCGGGTTTTTCAATAGATTCTGATTCAACATTAGGACCCCGCACTTTTAGTACGTAAAATGGTTCTCGGTGAAATTTCCTGAATTTTCAGTATGTTGTAGAATTCGATGAGCTGATTGAACCTGCAGAATCGTAAAGTTCTTCGATGAACAGATTCTGAGATACAGGGCGTTGAAGTCACAAATCGGTATTTTTCATTTAATTATTTTCTCGAAATTCAAAGATGCCAAGTACAATTTTCTTCGCTCATATCATTAACGAACCTCCATATTACTCAACATAATTCAGATGGTTCAGATGATGTAATTGTTTACAGAGTGAAACATATAAACATTTCAGTGATGTCTGAAAATTCGATGTAATAATGAAATATCGAGAAAATAATATACTATTCTCATTCCATCATGAATCACAATTCATACATTCCATACAGGGTGATTTGAAAAATTGGTGACACCTAAGATCGATTTATTCATACAAATCCTGTATATTCGAGTGAATTGTTAACCTCCCAAGATAACTGATACCGTATGAACATGATTTCGTTGAGATATATTGGGTGATCATGAAGATTTTCGATGATGAAAATGACAAAAAATCGTGTTTTTTGAAATCACCCTGTTATTCATGATTAACTCGGTGAAATTCCCTAATTATTTTTTAATATATTCATCATTCGCTCCTTAACGCTGTCTTGAAAATTCAGTTTCCTATCATGACGGGTGTCATAGTTATTAATTCAGGAACTTAACATTTGCATAAAGAGTTGAAGAGACTTGTTCACTTACATTCGCATAGTGGCCGATATTTTTCAGAAATAGTGAAACGAGAGAATGTGGAGACGAAATTGAGTTTAGTATTCATATACATTGTGAACATTAGAAATTCAATAACAATAGCAGATATATGAATTTAATAATATTAATATAATGTACAGATAGTTAGGCGAATTTCGTTGGTATACAAGCTCTGCCAAAATGAAAAACGAACAATACCTAGGAGATGGAAGAATGATTCGGTCTTTCACGCTTCCATTTCTAATAGGGAGAGTTGAATCCTGGAATCGACAGATTTTTTCACATTTGTTTTCCACTCAGAATCAGGCGTTTCCATCATTTTCATATTACCAACGAAATTCGCCTAACTATCTGTACATTATATTAATATTAATAAATCCATATATCTGCTATTGTTATTGAATTTCTAATGTTCACCCTGTATATGAATAATAAACTTATTTTCGTCTCCACATTCTCACGTTTCACTATTTGTGAAAAATATCGGCCACTATGCGAATGTAAGTGAACAAGTCTCTTCAACTCTTTATGCAAATGTTAAGTTCCTGAATTAATAACTATGACACCCGTCATGATAGGAAACTGAATTTTCAAGACAGCGTTAAGGAGCGAATATATTAAAAAATAATTAGGGAATTTCACCGAGTTAATCATGAATAACAGGGTGATTCCAAAAAACACGATTTTTTGTCATTTTCATCATCGAAAATCTTCATGATCACCCAATATATCTCAACGAAATCATGTTCATACGGTATCAGTTATCTTGGGAGGTTAACAATTCACTCGAATATACAGGATTTGTATGAATAAATCGATCTTAGGTGTCACCAATTTTTCAAATCACCCTGTATGGAATGTATGAATTGTGATTCATGATGGAATGAGAATAGTATATCGCATGCCTAAATTATTTTCTCGATATTTCATTATTACATCGAATTTTCAGACATCACTGACATGTTTATATGTTTCACTCTGTAAACAATTACATCATCTGAACCATCTGAATTATGTTGAGTAATATGGAGGTTCGTTGATGATATGAGCGAAAAAAATTGTACTTGGCATCTTTGAATTTCGAGAAAATAATTGAATGAAAAATACCGATTTGTAACTTCAACGCCCTGTATCTCAGAATCTGTTCATCAAAGAACTTTACGATTCTGCAGGTTCAATTAGTTCATCGAATTCTACAACATACTGAAAATTCAGAAAATTTCACCGAGAACCATTTTACGTACTGAAAGTGCGGGGTCCTTTGCTACAACTTTGCCAATTTAACCGTTTCTCTATCTATCATAGTTACTGAGATCCCAATGGTGAGGATCGAATTTGGGACACACTGTATCTCTCTAAATATATCCATTTTTCATATTCATAATATATCTGAGAATATTCCTTTTCTATTTCTAATGCATTCTGTAAATTTAGAACGATATTTTTCAGAAATTACTCATCAAAAAATATTAAACTAGGTACCGTTCATTCAAAGTGTCTCCCCCCGAAAATAATATTGACCAGCCTTTTAGATTATTCATATGAATTACTGAAAGGAACATTGAAGAGTGAGAAGTTTTCAAATCGACACCCTGTAGAAAGTATATCGAGAGAATATCAATAATTTTCTGGAAATGATTTCGCAGAGTTATCCCCACCATTCGCGATTTAATTTATTTATCCTTGTTTGGCTTTTAGTGTTGTTGCCGTACACTTTTTCTCCCTCAATTAAAAAATAAGGACCCAACACTATGAGCTGGTAAGCATTCTGTCTTGAAAAATATGTGGCTAATAAATCTAAAACTAATTTGATAAAAATTTATCAGAAGAAACTTCCCCATTGAAAGTTTCCTGATAATTTCCACAATCACAGTCCACGATTAAAACCTGAAAAGACAGTGTCAGAAGCCAGAGAAGTTTAAAGTTTAAGTTAGTTGGTTTGGGACGGTAAACATCGAAATAAACTCATTTTGGTAGGAAGTTTCACTAATTTAATTGATAATCTTATGTCTCGAAAATAATGAAACACATACGAAGTTTTGCATGCCAGTTACCTGTGTGCACCCGCATGTGATTCACCAAATTGCAGCTCTGAGAAAATGTTTTCTGACAGACTTCACAAATGTAAGGCCTCATTCCATTGTGAGTTCTCATATGAATGGCAAGGTTGCTCTGGGAATTGAAACTCTTCTGACAGAGCGTGCAAAAGAGAATCTCTTCTGGAGATCTCATGATCATGTCATGTTTAATAAGATGAGTTTTCAGCCTTCGAAAATATTTTTTACAAACCGGACATTTTTCTAGAGGATTCGATTTTCTTCTGGCGTAGGTGTCTGCTGCATTTTGAGCTTCATCTACAGATATTCGGCGAACTTTTTCTCTTGAAGGCCTGTTGGGAAATGTGCGAATAGGTTTTTTTTAAACTCCAATTTATTCAAAACTGAAGAACTCACCTTATTATACCATGAACTTCGAATGTACCATCACATGAAGGTGAATATTCTCTTTCAAAAATATTCATTTTGTACTGAGACCTTTTTCTCTTCACTGGTATAATGGATATCTCTGGACCAATAGAATTTATCAAATCATCCTCTGCTGGGTCTCCTGTCGCCAGAGGGTCTGATTCATCTGCTTTCAATTCTTCCTGGATAGGTATACAAACATACAGAGGTTACCGAAAGTATATACAGGGTTACTGGTAATTCGATACATTCCTTTGTTGATGTGATAGAGAAGGTTGTAAGGAGAAAATCAAACCCATATATGTATTAAGCAAGAGTTAATAGTTTTTGCGATATTTAATTTTTTTTTGTTTTTCTCCGGAAATCAGTTCCAATTTTTTTTCAAACTTTCAACTAGAATACATGATCAACACTATGGTCTTATGTTTGGAATGACAGAATTACAGAAATAATTTAGATCATAGATAAATTGTAGATACAGTCGTATTTTTGTTTGAGAATGGTGGGTTTTAACCACATTCTAGCGGATATTTTAAGAAGAATATCTGATCCACATTTGTCAAAAATTTGTTAAAACTTCCTTAGGGCGATAGCTATCTAACTGGGAACAAATGAAACTAAAAGTGCTTGATACGGATTTATTCGTTCAAAGGAATAGTATAAAACACACTTGAAGAATGCCTCTCAGTATTCATTTTCGGCAGTTTTTATTTTCGTTTATTCGCTCGAGGCATCCAAAAAGCATAACAAATGTTCCTAACCTTCATCATTGGGCCGAAGAAAACCCTCGTTCAACAAGGGAAACTAGTTTCCAACGGAATAAGTTTTCTGATAATGTGTTGATGGGACTCATTGACAGTTATTTAATAGACCACATTTGTTCCTAGACAATTCAAACAGGGAAATGTATGGAAATTTTCTACGGCATGATCTACAGGAGCTTCTCATTTTAACCGTTGGGATAGAAGGTCAGGTCGAATAGGTTGGCCAACTCGAAGCCCTGACCTAACCCCCCTTGATCATTATGTGTGGGGTCATATGGAGGTGCTAGTTGATGGAAATCCAGTAAAGACCCAGGAAGAACTCATACCAATGATAAACGACGCTGCCTTTTACATACAAAATGATTTGAAAACTAGCATAACAAAGATGGAAATAAGAAAACGCTGCCGCGCATGTATTCGTAATAAAGGTCTCATTTTGAACAGGATTTGTAAAAAGTGAATACTAATAGTAGAAGCATTTCAAGTACATTTTTACTATTCATTCAAAATAACAAACCAGTATCAAGTACTTTTATTATCATTTGTACCCAGTTAGATAGCTATTGCATTAAGGAATTTTCAACAAATTTTTGACGAAAATAGCTTACAGATTTTTCTAAGAATAACCGCTACAAAGTGTTGAAATCCACAATTATCAACAAACAAGAATACGATTTTGTATTTACAAGTTATCTATTATCTGAATTATTTCTGGAATTTTTTCCATTGCAAACATAAGACCATAGTTGAAAGGTTGAAAGAATGTACAGCAGATGTTCGGGAAACTAACTTTTTAACCCTTGAAGTCTACCTTTTGGAGAAAAAATTCAATATCTCAAAAACTATTAACTTTTGCATAATCCATATTAGGGTTGAATTCACTCCCTACCACCTCCCCTATTACATCACCAAAGGAATGTATCGAATTACCAGTAACCCTGTATATCCGTACCAATTCATGAGATTGAAAAAAATAGTGATTCCATAATTTGGCCACTTCGAAAAATCAAATGCAAGCATTCATTTCCACCGTAACAATTTGAAAGGTACAGGGTGATTCACCATGAATGCCCCCCCCCCTCTAGCTCACTCATTTTTGAACCGATTTAAAAATTTGAAAGATATAAAATGAGTTTTCAGAAATTTTTTTCCCGTTGCATCAGAAAATACAGGGTGCTCGGAACAAACGATCTACAGAGTACTACTTGATTTTTTCGAATGGAACACCCTGTATTTCATTGTATTTTTAGATTCTCCCTGAAGAGCTGATTGCATCAATATATCACAGTTGGGGTCTAGCGAGAATGATTACAGAGATATAAGGTGTTCAAAATCAAGATTTTTCAACTTTAGTTTTTTTTTGTGACGAAACTATTCGTTATTGGTCAACACGGCTTTTATGTCCGTGTCTTAACTTTTGATTTACTATCTACTGACATTTGATAATTGGAACAGATACAGGGTGATCAGAATCCTGAATCTTGAACCACACTGTATATGTTTCAATTAAATGTCAGTAGATAGTAAATCAAAAGTTGAGATAGGGACATTTGAGCCGTTTTGACCAATAATGAAAAGTTTCGACACAAAAAAATCCTAAAGTTGAAAAATCTTGATTTTGAACACCCTATATCTCTGTAATCATTCCCGCTAGACCCCAACTGTGATGCATTGATGAAATCAGCTCTTCAGGGAGAATCTAAAAATACGATGAAATACAGGGTGTTACTTTCGAAAAAATCAAGTAGTACTCTGTAGATCGTTTGTTCCGAACACCCTGTATTTTCTGATGCAACGGGAATACAATTTCTGAAAACTCATTTTAGATGATCTTTCAAATTTTCAAATCGGTTCAAAAATGAGTGAGCTAGAGGGGGGACATTTATGGTGAATCACCCTGTACAAAAGTTGAGCTTGCGTGGTACGCCTCAGGAATATTTCAGCCATCATTAATCAAATGCATAAAAATTCTGACAAATAATGTTTAGTTGCCAGTTAATTTAGAAATGTGGATTTATCAACATATGTTTTACCCAGCAGATAAACTGTCTAATACCTATATGTTAGGTTCAACTGGCGGATAAGTCAGATAGCCCATAATATACAGGGTGAGTCATGATTAACCAGCCATAGACTAATGGCGGATAGAGGAAGTCAAGGTGAGTTGATATACAGGGTGATCCAGGTTTTAAGGCACAAACTGAAATGTGCAATAGAACTCATCATTTTAATCAAAAAAGTTTATACAAACATGAGTCTGATCTTGATCAGTAGCGCAGCTATAAGAGGTCAAAGATTAAACATTTTTTCTCTCAATTAAAATATGGATCTTGCTCACTATTGAAGTTATCAATTTGAAATTTGGTGAGGTTGTTACTTCCTAGGAGATCATCATTTTAACCATTTTGAAGATTTTCATAATCTACAGGGTGATACACTATTTTTTTAGTACGCATCGGACATCATCTAGTTACCGTATTATGTGAATTGTTCAATTTAGAGGCTTTTATTGCTCTTAATTTTTTTCATCGAGAAACGAACCGTTTTCGAAATAAATAAGCATATCTGTTCTAAAACATATTGAACTTGTCTACGTTTCGCTTAAATTTTATTCTTGGAGAAAATTTAACCCACTTTAAATACTAAAAAAAACCTTGACCCTTTGTATCCCCGCTACTGATTCAGTTTGTTATTAATTTATTCAATAATAAAATTTGAGCGAAACAATATATGCAAAATTAACATGTTTTCAGAACGGATATGCTCATTTATTTCGAAAACGGTTGGTTTCTCGATAAAACTTGAGAGGCAAAAAAGCCTTTAAATTGAACGATATACAGGGTCGCTGATATGTATGGAAACAGGTGAATATCTCGGCAATCTGTTGTTAGATTTTTTTTGAATTTATGTACAGTGTGATTTCAAAACGTGGTGGATTTGAAAATGTTATAGCCTCTGATGCCACTTCTTCAGTTATTCCGGATTTTTAGTAACTTCCTTATTTTGAATGAAACACCCTGTACTTTATTGGATTTCCAGATTCTCCTTGAAGAGCTGATTCCATCGATCTATCACACTTGGGGTCGAGCGGGAATGATTACATAGGTATAGGGTGTTCAAAATCTAGGTTTTTCAACTTCAAGATTTTTTTGTGTAGAAACTATCCACTATCTTCACTTTTGATTCACCATTTACTGACTACTTAATTGGAACAGATACAGAGGGTGATCAGAATTCTGAATCTTGAACCACCCTGTATTTGTTTCAATTAAATGTCAGTAGATAGTAAATCAGAAGTAAAGATGGGAATATTGAAGCGGTTTTGATCGATATATAATGAATAGTTTCGACACAAAAAAATACCAAAGTTGAAAAATCTAGATTTTAAACACCCTATACCTATGTATTCATTCCTGCTAGACCCCAAGTGTGATAGATCGATGGAATTAGCTCTTCAGGGAGAATCTGAAAATCCAATAAATTACAGGGTGTTCTATTCAAAATAAGGAAGTTAAAAAAAATCCGGTATAACTGAAAAATTGGCAACATTGGGTATAACATTTTCAAATCTGCCACGTTTTGAAATCACACAGTACATAAATTCAAAAAAATCCAACAACAGGTTACCGAGATATTCACCTGTTTCCATACATATCAGCGACCCTGTATTAAATTTCCTTGCTAGAAGATGTCAGAGGCGTCCTACGAAAAAGTTTGAGGAAGATAAGGAAGCCTCTACCCCTAAAAACGCAACGTCCTGTAGATTTTAAAAATTTATAAGATGCTTCAAATGATCCCCCCTGTAGCTCCGCTTCTGATTGAGATCGGACTCATGTTTAGATAGACTTTTTTGATGAAAACGATTAGATCTATCATCCATTTCAGTTTGTGCCTTAAAATCTGAATCACCCTGTATATGTGGAAAAATATATTCTGCCTATTCCTATGCCTATTATATGAATTCGGGGCGAAACTTTGATGAACGATATTTCAGGAACGACTGGCATACTATGGAAGGAAAATTCCAGAGCCGGACTTGGAAAACTCATTTTCTTTTTTAATGTAAAGAAAACGACTTTCGGAATCGTATTTTCCAAAAACTTTTATCAGAATCAAAAAGATTAGGAAAAACACTACAAGTTTAGCTTTTCAATTCGTACGACACACTTCGACCGGATTGGTGAAAAAATATCAAACAAAATTCAGACAAATATTTCTTCAATTTCGTCTGGGCCATTACTCTTTATGTTCAACTAAAAGTATTCGAATCAGTTTTTTGCATATTGATATGGCAGCAGAGTTGATAAAAAGTATTATTTGAAAAAAATCAGGACCGGACTTGGTTTTTGGAGATAATTACATAAAACTATAATTTTCGAAAAAGATTCGTCTGAATATCATAATATTTTCCAACGAAG